GGGGAGGTAAGGAGGGAGGAAGGGAGAGGGAGCGAATGAAATGAGGGGGGAAGGGATCTCGAAAAAGTAAGACAAACAGGTTACATTAAAAAAAAAAAAATAAAGTTGAAAGTCAAAAGAATAACCGAATCAAAGTTAGTAATCAGAAACCTCATGTTGGTGTTTTTCTCAATCAATTGCGGCCAAAGTCGAGTTTTAAGTTATAAAATGTGCAATACACATGGCAAGAAATTGGGGTCAGCTCACAGAATTCTACTCTGAGTGTACAATTCTGTGGGTCAGTTTCAGGTCGGCCATTGGACGGCTGTTGTTATCCTATGACACTGATGTCAGCAAGTTGCTTGTTTTAAGTCAGCGTCCGCTTGTTTTGTACGCGGGCACATTGCCGACATCAAAATGATACCGTCTGGGTAACCTGTGCAAACTGGGGGTTTTCCTTTATCGTGTCTTTGAACTGTTTTTTTTTTTCGCCTCCCGAGATTTCTTTTGCCACTTGCGAGTTCGCCGTACTGTACAGCAGTTTTTGGGCATTCGGTGGTCTTCCATGCAGATGACATGGCCAACCCATCTCAGTTGGGCTTGGACGAGCGTGCTTTCTATGCTTTGTGTTGCTATTATTACGATAATAATAATTATTATTTCTATTATCATCACTCTAGTAACTGGTGTAGTCCACCTTCAAAACAATGGAACAGTTTTTAGTTACCACGGAAGAGATTGCAGACTGAATAATTTTTTTTATCTTTATCGTACTGAAAATCAATACAATAAATTCTCCTTCTCTTTGACCAGTCGTTTTTCGGATCGCCTTTTCTCAATCAGCCTCTGTGTCTTTATTTTCTTTCTTCTCTCTATTTCGGTCTTCTCTCTTGATTAAAAAAAACAACCCCACCCTTCCCACCAGGGAATCAAACCCAAGTGTCCTGCATGACAAGCCAAGTATACTTTACCTCTATGACATTCCCCCTTTGTTGTATAATCATGGAAATTAGATATTTGACAAAATGGCTTACACACAAATCTCTTCTTGTGCACGCTAACGACATGTTCAGCAGCCATAAATATAGAGACAAGGGGGTTGGGAAAGTAAATTGTTCTGTTCATTTCTCAGCATGTCATCCCCAGCAAACAGATCATAGACCCATGTTCTATGTTGAACTATAATTAAATACTCTCTGGTTAAACGATTGGTGAAAAAGGCACCAAATAATAGTATAAATGCCTCCTACTGTATACACAACTACAGATGATCTAGCTTGCTCTTTGTTTTATATTTATAGTATTATTTGAATTTATTCAAAGTAACAGGTTTACAAAATTATGAGTTAATTCCATATATGATAATCATTTTTTGTTTTGTTTTTATCATTACTGATATTCATCAAACAGAAATCCCTGCTATGCAATCCAAACGGATAAAAAGGAAACAAAATAAGAAAACACAAAAAAAATAACAAACTAACCTCTTTGAAAACAATTCAACTTATATTATGTACTTTAATGTTGTAGCAAAAGTTAAAAAAAACAACAACAATAAAACTGAAACAAAAAGAACAGTACATCTGTTTTGAATTTGTAAAAAAAAAAAAAAAAGATGATAAAGTAGACATTCAAAAAAGAAAAGAAAAAAAAATCATCAGTTCAAAGTGCTGTGTATCTCAATTTAAGATTTTTTTAAAGAAAGAAAAGCCAATTGTGTAATGACGCAGCGGAATCAGGCACTCCTCAGTTTTGGGGTATTTGGAGTTATTGGTACATGTATCATCTTAAAGGTTTTTTATTTGCCTTGCATTTGATGAAAAAAATATCCATTTATCATGAATAGAAGTCGAGATATTTGCCACTGAAGAAGGTGGGGGTCGCCTGGTTTCAGTACTAAAATTATCGAGAAAATGGCAGGCCAAACTTTGGCGACTTCTATAGCTCAAGAGTCCTTGGAAACTGCAAATTTCCATTTTTCGTGCCTTCAATCAACATTTTCCCATTAACACGAACAAGAATGTTTTTGAATGGACATAATACGGTGTTGGGCAAGAAAAAAAAAATTCCAAACCGGCCGAAAAATACAGATTTCTTCCATTTTATTATTTTGATGAGTGCCTGATTTCACCATGATGCCTCACAATTTTTCTGTTACCAGTAAAATAAAATCGTATTATTTCCTCCCAAAAACTTATTATTATTGCAAGTGTCAACAATTGAGATTCATTAAATAGCACACATGTGAAAAGCTGTTCCTGTTTCCACAAAAAGTGAAATGTTCGCCAAAGAAAGATACAGACAAACCTACTATGAGGGCCACTTGTCCAAGACAATCACATGTACAAATAGCCATTTTCTCACCCCTCCCCTGCCATTTTTTGGGTAATATATAACGACACTGTCCAAGACAACCACTTTGCTTCTCAACAATGGGTGGCCGTCTTGTACAATTTCGACTGTAATATTGCACCAGGCATGTTTTGATTCTTCATAGAAAAAGAAATACAGGTACAAATACCCCATAAACCCATTACTAAAATATAATAGGCAGATTTTACCTTTACCTTCATCTCACCTTCCAGTTCTCTTGAGAGAGTTACCTTGCTTTTTCAGTTTTAGCAATGTCCAAGTAACCGATTTAAAGTCCACAACACCATATATCATTGCATATTATTCAATGGTCAGCATGTGATTTATTTGTAATGAAATGCTTTAATTAGTACAAATTTTCTTTAAAATCATACACCCACCATGAACTTTCAAATAAAAAAGTGAGTAGAAAAAATTCTGACATCATATTCCAGGGAAATTTCACACAAATTAATCTTACTATGGTTGATGGGTACAAATTGTTTCCCCACATAAACATGACTAAATAATGATACTACAACAACAACAACAAATAAGAAACTGGTACTGGCAAACTGAACTGACTGACAATGAAGAATAATATCACTGCTTTTTGAGGTTAACAAAGTAGTAATGCCGACCGTACAATCGTTAAATCCTTTACATGACATCATATCACAGACAATACACCACATCGTATCACAGACAATGAGGGGAAATATGTAAAAAGGTCCCCGTACTTAAAGACGTTAAAAATATCATTTTCTGAACGTGTCCCAATGACAGACAGCAAAGGTAGCAGATTGAAAGACTACACATGTCCCATATATGATATATGGCTGTTTTTTTTACCATAACGCCTTAAAGGATCAAATTGTCCTGCAGACGGCCGTATACCATTAAAAAAAATACCAAGAATCATTGAAGAGAGAAAGAGAGAGCATTTTAAATTTATGAGTAGAAGTAAGAAAACATTGTGAAATTTGACTAGAAAGCTTGTAATTCTTTTTTGATTTGTCTTTATGAGATACACCGTGGAGATGGGATTTTCAATATTTTCATCCTGTTCAGATAAATCAAGGAGAAATACCCAATAAATTACAACATACTACAGAATCATGGCGCAGAAAAACTTGGGAAAAATCCCAAGGTTTCTATAACTCTTTATCTCCGGCAATCCACTCCGAGCAGCTTGTGGTGAGAACCACTGTGCAGTTGTTCCCCTGTCAGCGGCTCAGTCTCTTTCCTTCACGACAATGACGACGTTAACTAAATTCTGGCATTTGCCAAAATTAGGTCTTTTCTGAGTTCTTCCATTAGATGAAGAATTATAAAAATAAGACTCATTTGTTTTGAATAAATGAACAATTCAGTGACATGTATGTCATTTTCAGGTTTTGTACCAAATGAGGGCTCTGGCATTGAGGGAAAACTCCCTCCAGAGATAAACATAAAGGGTTAGTGCCTTTCACAGAACAATAACCCGAACCAAAATTTCAGCAAGGGAGGGTAATATCAAACTTCTTGGCCACCAGCTCCTCACCATTGCAAAAATAATCATTAAAAAATATGGACACTTCTATCGAAGGAAAAATTTGTTTAAGTTTATCACCGATTATTAAGCAGATAAGATGAAGATAATATATATATATATATATATATATATATACGATAACATAACACATGAAGTGTATTATGATACCCTTACAATAATGGCAGCTGAATAGACTAGAAAAGATTACTACATGTAAAACATTGATTGAATTAACACAATGCAACAACATCAATAAAAATTAACACTCTCGACACTATGACAAAATAACTTTAAAAAAATAATAAAAACAAACAAATAAAAAAAAACAACCCCAAACAAAACACTAAAAATGTGATCAACATTCAATCTTTAAATTTCTCCATTCAACATTGATGCTTTTCTCTTTGGTCCCATGAACTTGAATAGAGTGTGGACCATGTCGAAAAAACAAATTAAGAGGGAATGTAATGCGGTACTTTTGCTGCCACACTACTCAATAACCACATCAAGCCCTTATCCATCCATCTCTTAACTCTTCACTGCACACAAGATTTGAGATGTAGTCAAATAAAGTCTTCTTCTTTACACTACAATTTTCCTGTTATGATTTGGATTTAACCAACATTGAAAGGTAAACCTAATTAATGTCAGTGGTTTGAGTTTAGAGAACTAAGCAAAGTAGGTGCAAAGCCTTGACAACTCTAGAGACAACTAAAGTTCAAGAATACTTCTATTTGGGACGTGAGACACGGTTATCCAGCATAATACCATCTGATATCAATGTTTAGTATGTTGAAACAACACAACAAAATTATTGAAGATAACATGATGACAATCATTTATCAAACCTTCATCTCTTAAACAAAAGGTTTCATCTCTTTCCATCAACTTTTCTAGGACCAAATAGAAATGTCCACCCAAAAGAGTTTGTACATTAAGCATTAAGATTATAATAATATATTTATCCCAAAATTTAGAAATTCAAGAACTGCACAAACTGTAACTAGCTTTTTTCCATGTTTTCCTTGAACACAATTAGAAAAAGGCTTTGAATTAGTTATATATTATTTAAGTGAAGCATCGGATAATATACATCTGAGAGCAGTGAAGAGCACGAGTTCTTCTATTTTTTCTGAAAACGCATAACTACTGAGTACTAGCCAAAATATCAATAGTATACCTAAAAACCTTTCACTAGCATTAGTAAAATAGCCAAGACTTCACAAAAGTAAGAGGGTCTTTTAGTGCCGATTTGAAATTAAGAAGTGACTTGGTCTGGTCTGTGACATTTGATGCATTCCTATCCGGCACAGTGATAAGACCAGATGATCTTACTTTTCCAGATTTCCTCAGTTCAATCTGAGACACAAAACATTCAAAGGCCTCCCAGATTCCGTCTCCAGTCCAGGCACTGCAAGGCTTGACAAACACAGCTGTTGGGACAGAAACAGTTTTGTTTTTTGCATAAGTAAAAGTTTTAAGGCACTTGCAACACAATCAGGTCATATAAGTCATGCCAAAGATTAGAGGTGTTACAATGAAGTGAAAAAAAAAAAAAAAAAAAAAAGGAGAGATAATTACAATAGATGTTTGATAGAAAAGAAGGAACAAACCACACCAGAGCACCTGCCAACTACCCAAAACAAAAACAAGAAAAAAATTCAAAAGGTTTGTTGGATTACACACTTGGGAGTAAACTATCGTTGTTGGTTCTATCGGGGAATGGAATATCCTTACGGCTAACTGTGAATTCACGTATTATGTATTCGAGTCAACTGTGCTCAAATGCACAAAAACTTTAAAAAACTAAAAGAAGTTGACAAAGCGGTTGGTAGAAGAGGAAGATGAGAATATTCTTAATGTACCACTCACTATGATTTGGGCCGAATTTCTCTGCAGAGTATTTCTTTCTGAATGCATCCTCTACTTCCTGAACCGTGAGTGCTCCAGGTTTATCCTGTTTGTTGGCAAGAATCATGACCACCGACTCCCTCGTCTCATCCTCCTGAGGCAGAGGAAAAAACACAAAAGACAATGATAACGCTGCTCATCTTATGAGTGTAGATCAAAGCGAGTAGGACACTGAGTGAGATTTAAGCTATGGGTGTTAATCTGTGCGTTCATCGAACAGGAAACATGTTGATGGTGGTGATTTACAATGTCTTTGCTTCCAACCATGACCCTAGATACCCGAGAAACAGGAATTGTACGGAACATGTATTCATGGAAACTTTTCAAAATTTGTCATAACAACATTTAAAAATCATTTGCAAAGAGAATACCAATAACAGTCTTGCTTTCTTGAGAAAATTTCTCTCAATATTGCTCATTGTTGACAAAGTTAACCCACCTCATTATGTGCCACAGTATAGTGGCTAATCCCTGTGATCAAAATACACAGTGTCGACCACTGACCCCATTAATATCAGCAGTAGATCATTCAAATTGACAATGGCAAAATCCGCTATCATACATTGGGAAACTTGCCTTGGTTGTGTTCAACAACAATAAACAATCCTTTAGCATAGGACCTTTCTCCATTTCTCACTCTCTCTCTTTCATTTTCTTTCTCCCTCTCATACTTTAAAAAAAACCCAGACTGCTGCAAAATTTCTGAACTATACAACATGAATGTTACATTTAAATCAACATCAAAAGTCTTGAATTCCTTAATCAAAAGAAAGGTTTGACGCATCCTCAGAGTAAACAATTTCAATAAAAAAACTCCCATTGATCATCTCTGTAATAGTCCATTCCACAAGACTTGGTCTGGTTAGATCAGTGTTCAAATAGTACGATCATGAATACTCAATAAAAGAAAATGCTTTTCAGAAAAATATTTGCTACTACAGTCAAATCTGTGCAAGATGGAACCCCAAGGGAGCCAGAAAAAAATATTCAGTCTTAGGCTAGACCCACACCGGACTCAGGCCCAACGGTCAGACCCGACCCGACGATTTTCTGCCGGCTGTGGCGCCCATGCCGCCACCGGTACCCAACAGTCAGACAACATCAGTTTAATAGTACTAATAGTAGAAAATTGAGTATAGCAGGAGGAGAAACAGTTGTTATTCTTGTTGTGGTTAGGAAAGGGGGGGCACTCGTGGTTTAGGGGTTACGTTGTTTGCTTCTCATTCTACGAAAATAACCCCCCTTTCGCCCGACAGACGGAGTGGAATGAACAAGTATATTCCTAAACAGTCTGGTCTGGGACATCGGGGTTTGGTGAGGGTGGGTTGCCGTTTTTTAATTACAAATCGTTACTGTTCTGCCGGCGTTCATTCTTTTGTGTCGGAAAACGGTCCAGTCTGACCGTCAGGCCTGACGCCGGTGTGGGTCTAGCCTTATACAGAGGAATTTACGGGGAGAGGGAAGGGGGCTTCAGAGGCCCAGCTGGCGGGATCAAGAGTCGCTTGAGCGGTTGGCAAGCAGTAGTCAAAACTTGACATCTCTCAAATACTATCCTAGCCTCTCTGATTATGGCAGGCGTCAGTCCTACTTATGCATTGTCACCAGTATTTGCATTTCACAGGATCATTGTTTGACCTATTTAAAAAAAAGCATGGTTAAAACTCTTCTTTACTTCCACCCTCAGCCCCACCCATCAGTGTAATAGGCACAGTCAGACAATGCCATCCCTCCTGTGTATGTAACAATAATTCGAGAAACTCTTTTCTCAGCTGGCCATACAATCAGGGCGGCAGGCATTGATCAAACTAAAATCACCGCTCTGGCTACCTAGGAAAGTTTCCATGCTGGGATGTCCCTCAAGCACTTTCACAGGCAATGGTGAGATTTCATACCCACACCGACCTCACCATCTGCTATTGCCTCACATGGATGAGGTAACATCTACCCCCAAGTCACATCCCATCTCCCCTTCCTAGCCTGGTGGCAGGGCGCAAATTTCAGAGCTGAGGGAACCAAAAAAAGCTTTGTTTCAAAGCAGGGCCAAGCGCGCGAGGCATTTTCCCCGCGGAGATTCTGCTGTGACAGGTTTCCATCTTACATATAGGTTTCGGTTAAGGTAGGTGCAACTGCACTTTGATAGTTTAAAAACAAAAGAAGAAAAAAAACAATCTGTCTGTAACTTTCCAAAATATGTACAGATATTCAGATATAATGTGACTACAGTTAGTCTCAAGAAAAAAGAAAATTGAATGACTGACTCACATGCAAATAATACTTGAAGAGTTCATCCAGTGCGTCGCCAAGTCTATCTCTGTCTGCACTGTCAATCAAGTACACCATGCCCTTTGCGTTCCGGTAATAATGACGGACCAGCGACCTCTGAGGGGGGAAACCAGTAGGATTATTTAAAGTATGTAAAAGTTGTAGTGGACCACACTTATAATGGTCTCAGTTATAACATAATTTCAGCTATAGATCAAGATTTACAATAAATTCCTGAGTCCAATTTCTTGTGATGTAGTAAAAAAAAATTTTTTCATAGAAGGCATTCGGATAGACATGCTCGAATCATAGACAAAATCCTAGAATAAATAGACGAGAAAGCAGAAAAAAAGCAAAAACAGCAAAATATAATCTAACATGGCAAACTTCATCTACTTTATAAGTTGATTGTGCAATCTACTCATTTTATGAAGTGCCACACTGTATGTGCAGGCAGGGGAGGAGAGGGGAAAAGCAGGAAGCACTTTGTGGTGTTGCTGCAAATTTCCAGTCAGTGACTTATCCTGACCATGGTCTGGCACCAACATTAATGATCTTTGAGGTGGCACAACTTGCAAAGTGAATTATAAACTAAGGACTAAATGAAAAGTAGGCACTGGGCACTAGGTTTACTGCAGACCTGTGTATGTTCTTTTCCCCAACTGTGGTAACTATTCACATGAGAATAGTTGTACAGAGCACACAGCATGCTGAGGCAGTGCACCTCAAATGATATCTAGCCAACCTCCAAATTTACTGAACATTTGCTCAGTGGGTATCAAAACATCATTCTCTACTGACTATATTCTCCCACTTTTCGCTGAAACCCTCTACCCCCCCCCCCCCCCCCCACCACCACACAACTCAGTGATCTGCAGCGGTGGCTTCATTTTAGAGAAAACCTGATAGGGAAGAGATCAAAAGCAGGCCACCTCACTCTTGAACCCAAACACTGACTGCTGATAAATAAGACATAAGCATTATAAGGGTGATGCAAATCCTTTGGCAGGAGAGGCGAACTTCTGACCTGAAGAATACCGATCACATTATTTAGGTCTCTGATAATTCTCTCCCTCACCATTTTGTCCCTGCCTCCAATGTCGAAGCACATAACTTGGACGTCACTCACAGTCACTGTCTCGACATTAAAACCTGGTTATTAGAGACAGCAAAAGGAAACACACATTAGCAAAACACACAAAAAATCAAAACAGATGAGCAACCCTTCAACATCTCAACTCCTATCCTTGCAGAGGATACTGGTAACCACCTCCACAATGATCCAAATAATGTTGGTTGGGGTGTAACAGATTCACAGTTAGAATTACAATAACCTCCAAAACTTTGCACAATTTTTCACTTCACACAGATGAGAATGGGGTAAGACAGCGCAAGTGAGTACTTGAGCACCTGTCCTATGGTAGCCTGCACTGATATCATCCAGAAGCTGAAAATATTACGGACAGAAAGATCTGACCACTTTTGAGACTAGATAAGCCCTGTATGTATAAAAAATATACATATATGTAAGTATTGATAACATCATAATGTCTGATGCAAGCAGAGGTGGGGTTGTGAAAATGTTATGAACTGCATGGCTGTAAATGTCTTGTGAAAAGATTATGTACCCCATGTCTGCAGTGTCTCTTTGTAAAAATATTTTGTAATAGTTTTCCCAAATATTCTATATCCATTTCAGACCGATACTGTTCAGACTGAATTTGTGAAAGAAAAGTTTATACAATCACCAGCGAAAACAAACAATTCCTAACCCCCATGCACTTTATCTGAAAAAATGACACTGTCCAAGATGTCCAAATTTCTAAGACAACCACTTCTCTCCTCGACAATGGGTGGCCGTCTTGGACAAGTTAAACTGTATTATCTAAAATATTAGGACTACATTGATGGATAAAAAGGGGGATGGACAGATTAAGTATACAAGCGGAGAGCTAGAGAACGACAATTAAACACCACTGGACGATGTTTATACTAACAATTCATCTTGTTTGACCTTGCAAGAAGGATGCCCGCTGCATCCTCTGATCGTGATTCTAAAAATATAGATGATTTTGCGTAGCCCGCGGTTGCACTGGAAGTATCCAAGCTTTTCTCTTTGAGTCTTTCCTAGTGGTTCCCCCTAGTATAGGCCAACTGTTTTTGCACCTCATAGTATTCTTTTGCAAACCTTGTAGTCCTGAATTAGATCTACCACTCCATTTGCAGCTCATCGTTGTATTGAGCCCAATCTTGAGTGCTTAATTTCTTGTGCTTACAAAACTTTAAAAGAAACGGGATTGAAACGGTCAATCATTTGCACTGCGTCGTTAACTTTTGTTTGAATTTGCTTTCGTACGTAGGGCTACTCTTAGCCCTCTTCTTCCTCTCAGTTTAAATAGTGTACAGCATCAGAATCAATCTAAGTGGAAGAATGCTGCTGCATAATCACTGGCAACCGAACCGAACAGTTCTGCAAGTTGCAAAGAAAATAATCCGAGTCGCCAGGCTACTGTCTGGCGGTCGCGTTGCCACCATGACTGACGAAGTGGGAATCCTTCAGTGACGTCAAATAAGATGGCTGTTACTATGAATATCGGCCAATGGCATTTAGTTGTTGTTCTCTAGTTATTCGCTGCTTGTGTAAAGTACTGTGAAAAAGACTCATACTTTACCTATGGTTGGTATAGTGATCACAGCTTCACCAAGTTTCAATTGATACAAAAGTTGTGTTTTCCCTGCAGCATCCAGGCCTGAAACAATTTTTAAAAAAAAGACCATTAGTTTTAAGGCGCCTAGTTTTAATTAATTGAAATAAAGGTTGAACATTGTATTTCAATAATAAGTGACATTTTATAATACACCTCTGTGCTCTGGAGACACGTAATGTGTTTTAAGTTGCTACTATTTAATTTGTACACATTGTAATCCAATTGGTAAAACTGTCTTTTTCATGAAACACGGCCTTAAGCTACACTTCATATATATATATGTCCTTAAAATATATATTTATCACGGAACACTTGGCAAGGGATTGAGTGTAGGAAAAGTAGGGACATGAGGGGCAACTGTAGTGAAGCGAATTAGTTAGAAACCAGGATAAATGGTCACTTTTAACTTATTTTAAGGACAAGCGGGCTAACCTAGATTTCGGGGGTTTCCAGAAATCTTGACCTACACCAAAAGTAGACATTGCCCTACCTATAGCCGAAGTTTGGTTTCATTGGTGTATAATATTATTAATATTTGTTTGGTTATAATGAAAACTCCCCTTGTCTTTTAAAGAGGTTGAATATAAGGATCCAAAAACATTAACTTCGATTTTCTCAAAACAGCATTTATCGGGATAGCCCCCTTGTGCTTAAAAGCGACCAAATTATAGTCACAGTAACTTGTTAGTTAGAGTGTAATGTAAAGGACACAGTAAATGAATGACAGTTTTTTCAAAACCAAGATTAATTTAAAATCAAATTTTATCACAATTTATGTAAATATTATAGAGTCAACTACAACACTACATACAGCTCCCAAGCCCACACAATCCACTTATTTGACTGTTTCGGTATTTATCTTTGTCGAGATAATAACAACTGATCCCAACAGTTGTGTTATTACATGAAGCAGCAGCGAGCCCCTAGCACGTGTCTGAAATTGGCCCAAATATAGATGACATGAGGTATTACCGCCATCTATTATTTGTCTTCTTCCGGGGTTTCCCATGCCAGCTGGCGTGATAGGCTACGTCACTAGGTTTCATCGCCGACTCTGTGGGCTGTGTGTGTGTGTGCACATGCTTTTGTATGGGTGTGCGTGTGTATACATGTGCGAGCGTTTGTGTGTGTGTGTGTACCCACGCGCTTGTGTGTGTGTGTGTGTGTGTTTGTGTGTGTGTGTGTGTGTGTGTGTGTGTGTGTGTGTGTACAACTTTTAGGAGACGGTAAATTTATGAGAACAAGAATTGCTGAGATTGTATAAAAAGATAACATTTACAACATCACGAACCAAAAAACCCCAAAAGAAACACAGTGAGATTTAGTCAGTTACTGGCGAGGGAAACCAAAGAGTCTTGGGGGGAAACCCGGAAGACAAATAAAATAGATGGCAGAAATACGTCATCTATATTTGGGCCAATCACAGAGGTGTGCTAGGAAGTGCTCGCGGCAGCTTCATCATGTGTTGTTATAAATTTGTTATCTCGACAAAGATAATTTATACCCGACTGTTTCAAGCCTCAAACCTTGAATAAGAATCTTGTCCGGCAAAGTCCTTTTACATATCCATGCCCCCATACTGAAATTCAGTATAGATAGATCTAGAATCTAGATCTAGATATAGATCTAAAATTAAAATAGCACTTGACTGACTTGATGCCAACTTCAAAGTCAGTGTCAATCAAAATCAAAACAACCAATCTTAATCATATGATGACCAAGAACCTGGTTGGCTCACAATTCTTGAACAGGCAGTCCTTTTATTAAGTATAGATCTAGACTAGATCTACATAGATCTAAAGATTCTATCATGTAGTAACTTAGACTTAATATTATAGTACCGGTATCAATAATAGTAAAATAGCATCAGATCAGCTTTCATACTTCATCTACAATGAGATCGAAGTTTAGAAGCTAAACTTAGTAGAATATTAGAAATCTAGAGATTCCTTAGAAGTTTCACAAATTTCAGTCGTAGTAATAGTGATTGTAACAGAGATCTCGTCTTCGAAAACAGTAGAATTAAGATCCAGATCTAGTCAATGTGTTCTTGCATCCTTTTTCAAAGTTTTCACGTCAGGCCTATCCCTGTTTTCAGATCCTGGATCATTGCAAAATATTTGAGGATGTAAACAAAGGAAACACCGGAAATAAAACAGGGGAGGGTACTATCACTGCCCCAGGGGAAAATAACGATAGGCTTGGCAAATAGGCTAATGCCCTTCTTTTTTCTGAGTCGTGTCCCTTTTCTGTTTCTTAGGCGACTACGTAAACTTTCAAGATGGATGACATCTTACAGTACACTGGCAGCAGCTATGAAGGGGACTATACAAATGGAAGGTAGTTATTCACATATCAGTTTGAGAACAATTTCTTTGATTGTGAGAGCCTGTTAGAATTGATAGTACCGTGATTGACTAGATGTTTGATGTGCATGCAGCACTTTATGTCATATGTGCCGTAAATGAGTAGATATCTATTTAAATTGAATTAATAATTAATAAGACTGCACAATTATTAATTCTATACACTCAACCAATTATAAATGTCTCCAGTAAAATTGAAATAACTTAAAGCTCAGATAATACAAAAAGACACGACCCCTTTTCACACAGGCAGTAGAGTAAGACTGATGATGGAAATAAATATGTTCAGTTTTCAGTCGACTTCATCAGAAATTTCTTATAAATCCTACTTTTGCCCCTATTTTACTTATCAGCACGCTTTAATAAACATTGAACAGAGCAGTCCTGAACAACAAGCGGGTAGCTATATGAGATCAACAACTCATTGGCCGATATTTATAGTAACAGCCGTATTTTTTGACCTCGCAAGGGGATGCCTGCCGCGTCATGATCGTGATTAGAAAAATAGTGATGATTTTGTGTAGGTCTGCACTGGCAGTTTCCATGCTTCTATTCCCCTTGCCTTATATAGAATAGATCGATCTTGATCTAGATCTCTTGTTCTACTCCATTTGCAGCTCATGTCCTATTGAGTCCATCTCTTGTAAGTGCTTGATTTCTTAATTGTGCTGAAAATCTTTAAAAGAAATGATCCAGATAGAAACGGTTGATCATTTGCATTGCGTCGTTGAACTTTGTTGCTTTCGTATCCAAATTGACGTAGGCCTACTCTTAGTCTTCTTTTTCTTCTAGTTTAGGTAGTGTGCGTAGGCCAACAGCATCAGAATCAATCAGGGCGGAAGAAGGGTGCTGCACAATCACAGACAACCGAACTGAACTGTTTTGCAAGTTGCTGCAATTAAGTTGCCAAGAAAATAATCCGAGTCGGCAGGCTGCCATCGTGCGGTCGTGTTGCCACCATGATCTGTACTTGATCTTTATACTCTCTGCCATGACTGACAAAGTGGGAATCCCTCAATGACATCTAAACAAGATATGGCTGTTACTATAAATATCAGCCAGTGGCGTTTAGTTGTCATTCTACAGCTATCCGCTTTTGTCCTGAATGCTCCATGCAATAAACAGTACTCCATGCTTGCGATATTTAGTTTGTGTGAGTTTATATATATTGAAACAAAGACATAAAAGCACGCTAGCCTAGTTGGGCACATAGGAGACTTAAACATGTTTTTTTTTGTTTTTTGGTGAGTGTTTTATGGCGCTCGCAACTGCATAAGGTCATAAAACTCATATGAGCCCGTGGGACACACCTAACATTTTCACTTGGTAGGAAATTTTGAATTTTGTGCGGGTGGCTCTTATCGATTTTGGACCACCAAATTAACGTGCACAACTTGCACACGGACTTCTGAGATTTTTCGCCCTTTTCCGATCAGATGGCTAGGTGTAGATCTTTCCTTGCGCAAGATCAGGGGTGTGGCTGAAAGACAGCAGTAAGAAGGGGCCAAGGAGAAGCAGTGGAAAGACTGCAGAAAGAGTTAGGAGCCCAGAGGAGGGGGCTAATGAGGTGAGGGGTGGAGGCAGAAAATGGAGACGAAAGCAGACGACAAAATATGGCTAGAGAGCAGGAAAGGAGACAATTTTAGAAAAGAAAATTTGTCCTTTGCTTCCCGGATTCAAAATTGGGACCTTTGAATGAGAGGAGAACACCTTAACCTCTAGGCATCGAAAGCCCCCCACCCCCCAAACTTGTTAATGTTGGGGATTGACAAATGTGTTGGATACATGCTTAAAATGGGTTAACCGTAAAAAAAAATAATTAAAAAGATATCAGTAGGAGTACGGGAATGGCAAGTTGTATGAGCTATCCATAATTTCAAGTTTTAAATTTTGCATGGTATGTTACAGGCATGACTGATAAATAATGTCAATAACATCTCTAGAAACTTGTCTTCTTTTAAAAAGCTCTAAATTTTATGTTATTCATGTCATTGTTTTAATTCCTGTAATTTCATCTGTTTTTTTGAAAAGATTGGAGGGAAAAGGAAAATATAACTTCCCCACCGAGACACGATATGAAGGAGAGATGAAAGATGGAATGTTTCATGGCAAAGGCTCCTTGTTTTTCCCAAATGGAAGCAGATATGATGCAACGTGGGAAAATGGAATTGCTATCGAGGTATATGCTTTCTTTTATAACAATATTAATGATCTAATGCCTATGCTTTTGTGAAAGAGGGAGGTAGGAGGCAGGGCAGTTAAAGAGATCTTGAATAATAAATATATATATATAGGCTATATCTAGGCCTATATATATATCCCAAACTGATTTTTCTTTAAATTGGAAACAAGTTGCTGTTCTCTATTTAAGATCCTGTGGGAAGGCATCTCTCATTTTAAATTTATAGTATTCGTGCAATTAAAATACTGTTTGCCTTCTCGCTCTACGATCCTGTATGTAAATTGATAAAACAAACTGATATACATCTATAAATTTCCTCAGGGGAAGTACACATTTGCTGATGGCCTGGTTTATGATGAAGAGAACTGGGAGTATTGTGATGGCTATGACAGACGGTTCTACACTGAGATTACTGGAAGTCTTATGCCAGCTGGTAAGGAAACAGAACAGATCAAAATAACTTTTTTTTTAAACTGATGATACAATAATCTCTATTTTAAGTACTCCACCAATGTAGAGGCTCGTACAAGTTTGTTTTCCAACACTCTGATGGGTTTAGGATGAATATCTTTTCGTGTACACACTTAGAATTAGCATCTTTTCTTTTCCAAATCTTCAAGAGAACTTGTACCTGGGTAAACCCTTGTCTTATCAAACCCAGCCATTTTCGGTTGCGTGACGTTCAGCTAATGGTTACTGCATGAAGTGATGGTGGGAAAGGATGATTGTACTGTGCCTTTTACGATACTACACGAGTGTGCATTGCACTAAGAGTAAAAGTCAAGAGCAGAAGAAAGGAACAACGTTAAACTAGCATCTGCGTTTGTTGCCATTTTTTTGCCAAAAAGTTGCCACAAAAAATGGCGAAAGCTGCCATAAAAGTAGCCGTTAATTTTCAAGCTCTCGACTCTCTGTGACGACGTATATATTTCAATATGTTGATAGAAGTAATTTAATCTAAAGCTCCAGAATTTCTTGTGTTCTGTTTTAAGCATCCAGAATATCATTTGTAGCAATACAGAGTGTAAAAACGTGAAAAATAAAGGTTTCACAACAGAATGAAATCAAAATTAGAACAGCACACAAACAACCGCAAAAATTAACAAATAAAGGCATGTGTCCACTTATCCGAAGATTAGCCATTTTAACCCTAAATGTGATTAAGTGTAAATTATGGAAGAGGCCTGTGTTAGTATTTGGTACTATGAAGTAGCTTTTTTTGTTGAAAAATGCCAAAATTGCAGCCGCGTTTCTCGGGGGCTAAAAAAGGCCCAAAATTGCTGCTGCGATTTGCGGGTCATGGCCGCGACAAACCTGATGCTAGGTTAAATTATAATATATATCAATATATCTAAAGGTACCTAAGCAATTGGGATAATATGAGTTGGTGACCTACAATTTTTGACCAATGCTAATGAAAATGTCTGTGATCTTCCAACAGGTCATGAGCAGCTAGTCAATAATGAGCCTCGTCACAAGATTCCAGAGGGCTGCTACGACTGCGGCGATGGCTTCTACAATCCACGGACTAGGGTGGTGGTTGACTACAATAATAAATTCCTGCGGAATGCTGGTAATGTTTATTGGTTCACATATATAATAATATATGAAGGGGTGAGATGCAAAACCCAATAAGCGGCATTTGGAAAAAAAAAGAAGAGATTTTTGGCCTATAAATGCACATTGTTACAGACTATCAGATGCACAGATTTTTTTCAACCAAAACCCCACACATCCTTCCTAAAAGCCACCAAAATATCTTTTTACGCCAAACTCAATACATCCAAAATCGTAATTTTCTTCAACTTGATCCTCAACTTGATACATCCAACAATTTTCTTTATCGCTTATTGGCTAAACCATAAAAGTGATTATGGTAAAAGTTAAAAAAAAAAAAAATGAAAGTTACCGTTGTGACTGATAAAGTGACAATTATTTTATTACAAGTCTCAAAGTTTCTGGATCATGGTTGAGAAAAGAATGAAGACCAACCTTTTTCCAAATTAAAAAAAACTCTTTCTCTACCATCAAGTCAGGGAAATGGGAATGTGACCCCACTAAATTTATAATTTTGAATCTTTAACAGATGATATTTCTTTTTAAGGCATGTGTGGAGGAGTAAATCTCCCTAAAAGGTATATTATCATACATTGTTTTGTTATCTTGCTGAGGGAGCTGTTTTAAAATCTGGTAAAAAATATCTGATTATCAAGTGGATAACTTTGATCAGTGAAAAAAGCTCAAGCTCATAGAGAAGATAAGCCCAGACGCCTTGCTATTTGGTCAAAACAAAAACACCCATACCTAGGACAATGCTAAGTATCATTTATAGTGGAAAGTCAAACCTATTGGATGTACCTCAGCCGTGCAACCCATTGAATAGCCTACTCATTTCACCCAACTTGGATTAATGAAACTGTCTAGACAAGATTGATTTTTGTAGAAGGGGCAACAGCGACAAAAAAACCCAACCCATAACAATATTCTCAATCAATTTTCAGAACTTGTGCAGTGTGTTCTTTCTCGACCCGACTTTTAACTTTTTTTGTTCTTTACACTGAAATAAGAGCACCCATGGAAGAGCAAGACTGTTTGTTTTTTAAAAAGTAAGATAAACAGAGTTGTTTTTTTACACCAGCAGGTCATTTTAAAGGACCCCCCCCCCTCCCCCTTAGTATTATGTGGTTTTCAGGGTCTGTATTCTGCTAGGCACCGCACCCAGTTGAAAGATCAGTTTGAAAAAGAGCTGGAGACATTCATCTCTGAAAGAGCTTTATCTTCAGTCGGCTTTAGCAACATTCTATATATCTATATATTCAAAATGTGGATTTTGATCTATCCACAGATGATGATGAGCACAACTGGATTGTCAAGACTTGTCTCAAAGGCTGGGATGAGTTCATTGGCTTCACACCCAAAGTCAAGGCTTGATGAGGAAAGATTTCCCGTAAATTTCATTTTTGTACACAAAAGATGTTGATTTGATATTACAGTTAAATGATTTGAAAGGCTGATATCTTTAACCCTGGTACTTTTATCATTGCTGCATCCCTCGACTCAGAATCCATGAAAGAGTTATTAGCGATGATGTCTTGGCTACAAACAAAAGTGATGTGAAAGAAAAGATTCAAGAATTTGATGTTCTATAAAATAAGATACTGTAAATTAAGAATTCTAATGCTGTAGTGTACTACTTATGGTTTACAGAAACTTACACAACTGTCAAATTTGTTTACTTAATTAATTTTTTTTCCAACTGAATGTTTTGTCAAATGTGTTTTTCGTTCTTTTAGCCAACACATTTTGTAAATAAACGATCACATAATGCTTCATTATGTTTTGCGAAATACACATTTTTTTACTTTCAATTGGGTAGCCGTAAGCAGATAGCCCAGTTGATCTCAGGGTTGACTAAGGGCTTTTTTTAACTTGAATTATTTTTGTGAGTTTGCCTGGTGCATTTGGATACAGATATTACATTTAGGGGCCCAACTTCTTAATTAACATAACAGAGTTTATAGAGGTGTAAAGTGAAAATGGTATAGTGAAATGGTATGGGTTTAACACCTCTATCAACACTATTAGGTTATTTAAGAGGCAGGAACCTCCAAACTGAGCCAAATGGGAATTTTGTGTAAAATGCCTTTCCCAGGGACACTTTGGACTGAGCAAAGGCCCGAGTAGTGTGTACTGTTCCAATTAAGTTATTTTTCTTAATGTAGAGCTATAAGCTCTGTTCAAACCCAGTGAGCAAGGGCTTATCTTGCCTTCAGAGACATGAAGCATAACTAATAATGTTAATTATCCTGGAAACAAAGAACTGGTGTCTGTGGTGCAATGGTTTGAACTTCTATCCTTTATACGAGTTTGTTTATCCTACCCTGGAGGCTGGATAATATTTGACTGAATAATATTGTCTTCCTTCAATGTCACACTCTTCCCTAGTCGATCTCAATGGCAGGGTTGGAATAGACTTTTTAGTTAATAATCTAAGTTGGGTCTGGAGGCTTACAACATTTACAAAATACAATTACGAACAGGAAACTAGTGAGATCATGACTTGTTGACTTGTTCCCCAAGTATGTTAATTATAGCAAGTCAGTCCTCTGGTGCAAAAACGTTTGATTGAATAAGTAAAAGTGTGAAGCCTTGCCTTGATACAGGACACTTTTTTGTCTGACCTCGCAGCTCCCATGGTGCAGTGCTTCACACGAACCACGGAGGCCTCTTCGTGGAATCCCTTCAGTCTGTTATTATTATTATTTTTTTTAAAAGAAGAATTCTCAAGACCTAGAAGAAGAAAAATGGTCAGATCTGACAAACAAATAATGGAATCATTAAAACAATGTATAGTAAAATTACTCTTTTCTTTCTCTTTTAAGAATGCGTACAAAAAGATACATGTATGCTAAGAGAAATGATGTTTGTAGGCGAAATAATTAGTTTGGCACCTGGAAAAGGTGATCCAGAAGTTTCTGTCAATTTCATTTCATAAAGAGGTATCTTTCTTTTTAAGCAAAGTTGAACAGATTATTATGTGATCTCAGCACTGCGTCAAATAGACTTTAAATCGACAAACACTCAAGTGCAAAACATAACATGTATAATTATGCAGTACATGTATATTGATTTAATAAGAATTCACTAGCTGCGTTGTTGTTTACTTGGTCACAGGCGTGCTAATGCAAGTTCAAGCTGTAATTAAGAATTTCTTTTTCAAGTAATAGTTGATTGTGGTCATTCGGTGCAGGGGCAAGGCAAGACAGATAGACAGAAACAACAGAAGAACAGAAGGGAAGACCACCAAGAGACTAACCTCCAACTACCTATCATTTTAGCTTTAATCCGTTAAGCGGGACTCCCATCTTCAAGCATGCGTGTCAAGTTTACTTGATACAAACAGAATAGGTACTTTATCGCTTGAAGGTGGGTGTTATTACTTGAAGTTTGTGCAAGCAAATTGGTTCCAATCAGCTAGAAGAAGAGATCAAGTATTGTTTGGTGATTTCTCATCATGCCATCATGCACC